AAGAAAGGGTATAAAAGAAGAAAATCTAATGACATGGCCTCCTTGTTCACCTGATCTGAACCCCATTGAGAACCTGTGGTCCATCATCAAATGTGAGATTTACAAGGAGGGAAAACAGTACACCTCTCTGAACAGTGTCTGGGAGGCTGTGGTTGCTGCTGCACGCAATGTTGATGGTGAACAGATCAAAACACTGACAGAATCCATGGATGGCAGGCTTTTGAGTGTCCTTGCAAAGAAAGGTGGCTATATTGGTCACTGATTTGTTTTTGTTTTGTTTTTGAATGTCAGAAATGTATATTTGTGAATGTTGAGATGTTATATTGGTTTCACTGGTAATAATAAATAATTGAAATGGGTATATATTTGTTTTTGTTAAGTTGCCTAATAATTATGCACAGTAATAGTCACCTGCACACACAGATATCCCCCTAACATAGCTATAACTAAAAACAAACTAAAAACTACTTCCAAAAATATTCAGCTTTGATATTAATGAGTTTTTTGGGTTCATTGAGAACATGGTTGTTGTTCAATAATAAAATTAATCCTCAAAAATACAACTTGCCTAATAATTCTGCACTCCCTGTAGGTTTTTTTAGTAGTAACTGTAACCTGAATGGATAAAATCGTATGGCATAAGGAAATATGGCATAGACCAAGCTTATCTTAAAACATACAGTATATGTGAAAGTAAAGTGCCGTGATATGTAAATATTAAACATCATAGCCATACTGGTTAAATATGTATCAATCTTAACCCAAGTGCCGTATGTATGTGAACCATATTACCAGTTATGTATATACAGATGCGTGTGCTACTATGTAATAATATGTGTATTTATAACAGATGTTGATATACTGCTTGCTATGTGAATTGTTGTATGCCTTATTGAATGGTCAGTGAACATGGTGTTGCAAAATGCAAGTGCACTGGAGATCTACAGAGTGCCCTATAGGTGGCAGTGTAGTTGATGCTGATGGTATGTGAAATGTTGTTTGTCTGTTGACCTATAGGGGTCAGTGTTTTGGTGTTTGTAAAACCCCATGAAAAACCCCATGAAAATTGTCAATGTACTTGACAGACCTGTAGGTGGCAGTGTTGATAGAACCACTGTTAGTCTTGATGTGAAATGTAAATTATTGTGAATTAAACCTGAAGTTGAGCCAGTGTTGGAGTTTAATTTATGGTTTATGGTTATGTTTAAAACAATCTTATGTGTAATTTATATTGGCTGGCAATTGTATATGACATGCGAAGACAGTTTTGCTGTTGACCAGTAAGGGTCAGAAATGCTGATTGTAGGGTTAAATACCCTTTAACCCCTGAAGGATACATTATAGTTGTATGACAGGGAAACAAACAGTGCCCGTTTGACAATATACAATAAGTGGACATAATAGCTTAATAACAGTCATTGTAACAAACCAAAGTTCTGTTTGTGGGTTGTAAACGCACGAAACGTGTGTGTAGTACAGTAGTAGATGCATGAACTAGTTCCCGTTTGGCAGAAAATTGCACGTGAGCCTGGTATGTCAGGGAAACAAAACGAAACGAGCAGTGAGATTCGAAATCTCAATCTCAATCGCACAGAATTGCCTAGTATGTTTAGGCAATTGAAACAGAATGTGTTCCCGTTTGGGAGTATGCTAATGCTCGAAATGAGCCAGTGACAGATATAAACAAGTGAATTTAAACGAATTATATGCATGAACATGCAATGGTTTTAGGACAGATTTAGACAAAATGCAGCCGTAAAGTGAGGACCTGACCCGTGCATGGTGCCGTGGGACTGATGCCTGGCATAACGGGTAGGTCGACTTACGGTTTGAGAGACACTTGGACACCATACACGGCGATAGATTGAAGAAAGAAGGTGGTAGGCCGGAAAAGCCTGTGGCTGAATTCCTGACACAGCTCAGAAAACCTCATGGAGTAATCAGGTAAAATGGCATCTGGATGACCCGGAAGTGGAAATCATTCTGATGCTGACCTCAAGCGATATCAGTCAGGTAAGGGGTGTCCCTTATATAGGGGAGTGAATTAATTTAAGCCCCTCCCACAAATAGAGGCCAAACGGCCTTAAAACATATATATATATATATATTTATTTTATTTATTAATAAAGCTGTGATAATTTTCCCAAACATAAGGTGTCTGAGTATCCTTGGGTTTTGGAGGGAGGTTTATACCGCATATGCCGGAAAGGCAACTATGCATATGTCTTAGGTTTTTTCAGAAGTCTATAACTTTTTTATTAATGAACCAATTTCAGGGATATTATTTACAATGAATGCTTAATGTATGGAGATTTGTTTGACCAGATTCTTTTAAATGATGTCATCTCTTTTGATTGCATTGCTCAAAGATTAGTTAAAGTTTGAGGATCTAGCGCTCAAATTTCGGCCAGATAACTTCCTGTGAGGTCACACTGCACCAGACGATTCATTTGGTAGGGTGCAATTGGCGCTCATGAATTATCCATGTTTTTTCAGTACCTCAGAAACGAGCGCTTTACTTATTGACAAAATAATTTAAATGAAAATAAGCTTTGTTAGACATGATAAGTTGATGAACAAATTCATTGCATTCTCTGTCTAATTTTTTGTTCCTTCATGAAATTACACATGATGAGTCTCCCAAGACTCAGATATAATATGTACCTGCAACAATAAAAGTTAATTTGAGAACTGAAATGTTGATCTTTTATTGGCATACTTTGAATAAAAGCTAAGTTTAACTTTTCTTTCTCTGTACAAAGTCCCTGGAGTGCTATCATTTGAAATATGTATGTATCTATGCAGACAGCACAGGGCTCCAAATATTACACTAACTGGAGTGCAAGCATATGGACAATTTTGTATATATGTATATGTATATATGTAAGGGGATATAAGTATCTACCATTTTGGGGAAGTAATATTAGCATACTCTGAAATTGTAACCCTTCCTCGCAGAGGGGGTTCTAAGACTAAGAGTCTGTGTTGGACTATTTGTTCCCTTAAAATAGCCAAGCTTGCCTCTTTCCCTGACTGTATTCCTGTGTGAAATTGCGATTAACTGCGCTATGACAATTAGTTCAGTAAAGAACAATCAAAGCTAATACACTGATCGGTAATTTGACATACCAATCTTACACTTAAAGGAACACTATAGGGTCAGGAACACAATAATGTATTCCTGACCCAATAGTGTTAAAACCACCATCTAGCCCCCCTGGGGCCCACATGCCTCCATAAATATAGCACAATCATACTTGTATTCAAGCCTGAAGCTGTAGCTCTGCATGCTATTTGCCTCAGAAAAACAAGCTGTCTGCTAACATCACTAAAAGTTGTGGCCTGATCCAATCACAATGCTTCTCCATAGGATTGGCTGAGACTGATAAGGAGGCAGATCAGGGGCACAATTCAAACACAGCCCTGGCCAATTGGCATCTCCTCATAGAGATGAATTGAATCAATGAATCTCTATGAGGAAAGTTCAGTGTCTGCATGCAGAGGGAGGAGACACTGAATGTTTGGATGTATTTTAGGCAACCATGACCCAGGAAGGATCTCTAACAGCCATCTGAGGAGTGGACAGTGAAGTTATCACTAGGCTGTAATGTAAACACTGCATTTTCTCTGAAAAGGCAGTGTTTACAGCAAAAATACTTAAGGTAATGATTCTACTCACCAGAACAAATTCAATAAGCTGTAGTTGTTCTGGTGACTATAGTGTCCCTTTAATCTTACTTAAGTGTTTGAGTTTCTGTGTGACGTTAGTTGGGTAAAAAACGATTGCTGCATCCAACTTTTCAGATCTGCTGATAAGTTGATATCAGTTATAATATTGGCAATTGATATTCATCACAGTTTAATCACAGTTTGGGACTTTTGGTTACTAAGGGAGGCAGATATAGTATATGCCTAAATAGTGCTTTCCCCCTAAGTAGCAAACCATTTAATAAACCCCACTCAATAATAGATTTATATTTTACAGTATGACTTTTGCCATCCTTATGTTTCATGTGTGCAGTGATCAGTTGATGAGTGTCCTACAGGATGAAGTCTTGTTATTGGAAGCATAGGTTGTACTATGGTGCTGGATCTATTCCTTTGAAGGTCAAGATTGGTACATAACCTGTGATATTTGTTTTGACCTGCATTGTATGATTGTTTGCCTTAACCATAATCTGATGTCACTTGATAGATTAACGATGCCTGTTTGTAATGGACAATTGGTAGCAACTCTGTTGCTACTCTGTTTCTGGCAGCCGTTCTTAGTGATATTCTACAAAAAATTGTGCAGCAAGATTGTAAAATTTAGCAGCAGCCATTAGCCAATTACCACCAGGTTTCCAAGCTTGGGGCGAGCTAAAATCAGCTTGAGATCTGAGCGGGGACCCACCGAAGGGCAGGCTATTTCAGCTGCTGCCCGTTCTCAGAATATTCTTGTGCCTTGTTTTTTTTGCTCTCCATAAATTTAAAGGGTAATCCAGATGTGGACCCTCACGGTGCCTGGAGAGATATCATCTATGCCTCACTGATGATGCCTAACAAGGCTGAAACGATCGTCTGGGGTTGCTGGGTCTCTTATGCAGAGCAGGCGTATCAGGTTTGGGGTTTGTTAGGTTGGGCTGCTACATGTTAGGTGAGGTATGCATATCCCTTACAAAAACAAGATATAAACATTGCTTAGTTGCACTCTATATATGGTAAGCTGTATGAAAGCTGTCTAGGCAGGTCCACCTCGCTGCCATTCATAATACTTTGCAAGTTGCAAGAATCATATAATGTGATCTTAGCATGCCAAGTGACCAACCTGCAAAATACTACAAGCTATATGTACATATCTGTTTTCAGAGGAGATTTAATTTGTCTGCATGAGTTTTGGTATATTAGACAATATGACTACACATAGTAAACTAGCAAGCATTTTTAACCTCCGTTATGTGGAGAGAGAGTTCTCACATTGTGAACTGGGTCGTAAGCTGTGGGCCGCATAGCAAGTCAGTCTATACTGTTTCAGCCGATGCCCAGTCTGAAGGCCGTGGTGGCTTGCCTGGAAAGGACGACGATGAGCCGTCCCAGCTATGCCAGGTATCCAGTGCATCCGCTTCAGCTTTGCAGCGCAGTCTGGGTTGGGCACCCCCCTGCTCAGGGGCTTTCTGAGAACCGGTACCACTGTTCCATGGACTTGCCTCTTTTCTGGGGCTGAGTCCTTCCTCGATGTGGGGCTGCATAGAGCTGCATGCTTCTACTTGAACCGGTGGTGCACTGGCCATAATGCTGACCTTTGTTGGTTCTGACGGCTGTCGCATGTTCTCCAAGCGTTCCCAAAATTCCCAGCATTTGGCATCAAATCTTACCTGGAAGACCTGCTGCCCTGTCGCTGGGTGTTGATTGCTCCGTGTGGGGAGTAGTGGCGTCGGCCATCTTGGTTCGGCCTTGTGTCTTCCACTTGCTGGATTTGCGCCTGGGAGCTATTTGTTGGTGAGTGCTCCCGTCCTGGGAGTAGACTGGGATGACCCCCACTGGTCCATGGGGGGGGGACGAGGGCCCAGGTGCAAAGATTCAGGCTGTATTGGCAGCAGGAAAGTAACCGTCTCTCCCACGCCCGCCATGCTTGTAGGCCTCAGTCTCTTGTCGGTTGAGTATTGCTTATATTGCCGCTCAGTTGGTATCATCTCGTGCAGCTTAATGTCACCCCTCTTTTGGTAATCATTCTGCTTCGATAAATTGGCGTTAGCCCAGGAATAACAATTACCCCTGTGATGGCATACCATTTGCAATAGTAGACAACCAAAGGTATTGCAAATGGGGTATGTCCAGTCTTTTTTAGTAGTCACTTTGTCAAATATTAGAGAATGCCTGCCGTCTTTAAGGGGTTTATACACAGATCACTTTTTTATTTCAGCAAAAACAGAGCATACAAGAAGTCTAAGAATGAGCAAAAGTTTAAATAAACTCAGTAGCTTGCCCTTTGGTTACTTCATTCTCAGGTCTCAAAAATGTTTTTGCTCACTTCTGCTATTACAAAGAGAACCTATACCATTTGCATATCAGCTGATCCCACCCATAAGAACTGAAATGCCAGTAAGTTCTCTATATGACAGATACAGCAGCCCAGATGATCATTTCGGCCTTCTCATATTCTCTGTTTTTGTTGCATTGCTTTTTTATATGCAGCTTGCTCGCAAAATCAAGATATATATCATTCCTGGTTAACACGAGTAGTGATTATGACTGAGTTTGACCTGAAAACTGTACTTTGATACTCTACTGTGTAAGGTTATATTAAAGACAAAGATATTGCACTAACCAGCCTCATTGAATAACAATAATGTGCTGCAATCTACCACGAGTGTTTCACCTGCAGTGATGCACATGCTACTTTATAGGTATGGTTATAATAATTATGGGTATTCGACATGCAAATTAGCCTTCTGTTTGTTACATTAGCCTCTTATCCATTATAAACGGCCTTGTAAAATATAACATACGTGCTACTAGACTTCCTGCTGTGATGGCTAGGAGGAGAACACACAACCTTGAAACTCCTTCTCTTTCTTCTTGTTTCAAAGAACTCTCACTTGCCACAAACGGGTTTTATATCTCAGCCATCTCCTGGCACCTGATGATACAGGCAAAGAAAAGGATTTAATTAATCACAGGTGAAACGCTTTGGATTTTTTCCAAGCCAATATAACTGCCAAGCTCGGATCTTCATTTTCTTTGCCATGAACCCCTGAAGAAATTTACGATTAGGTAATTATCGAGATGAATAAAGATATACTTAAAAGGAGATGAGAGAATAGAAGGGAGTTTAAGCCTTGTTCTTTTTGTGCAAGCAGCCTATTTATCACTAAGCAAACATTTCGAAGGAGAAAGTCATGGTGGTCCCCAGGGGAGATTAAATATTTTTCAAATCAATGTTTGTCGAACTAAAGGAGGAACTTTAGAATAAAGTAGAATTAAGGGCGGCAGTGGATTATGATGAAACATAAACCTGTAGCAGAAAGCTCAAAGTTCTAAGCAAAACAGACAGTGCAGAAGAAGCATTGGACAGCATGCTTAATGAGCACATTAAAGTTCTAATGGTAAACCCACAGCTACTCCTGATTTCAGTACAGTGCTAAGCCCTTCACTTACACTTAGCTCTGCATGACAAGCCTTTAGCATGTATCTAAACAAATAGTTTGGATTCTCAAAAAAGTAGTGAAGATTCATTAAGTGGTTATACACACATTTGTCCTGTGGAGGGACAAGCTGGAGGAGAACAGAAACAATATTGGACCTCTGGAGCACAGTGTGAGGGAGTAAAGGAATTTGAAACAGATTTCAAGATTTTTATAGAGCAGAAAATAACTAAGGAAAAACATGGAAAACACAAAATACTGAGCACTGCTTGTTATTCCCCACAGGGTAAGAAAGGCAAGAAAGACAATATGTTACCTTCAGAGTATACTCAAATAGGGCATTATAAAAAAAAAGTGGAGAAGCAGTGTTATTAAAAATAATTAATGGTACAAATTAGAGACACTGTTTGTAAGTTAATAACTCAATCAAGTAAAAGTTTTAGGATTGTCGGAATTTAACCAAAAAATAAAAATGTTAAGCAATACTGGGCACATATCTGTTATAGATGCATTTCAGAATAAATTATTTGGTGAATTATACACTGTTACTCAGTGACAAACTGTTCAGGTTTGTCCTAAAACGTAAAAGACAAGAGAAAAACTTGCAGGGCTTAATCTGTACCCAAATGCAATATTAATCGCTCGCAACTAGGTAACTCACATTTTATTGAGCCTGTAGAGTTGGCTCATACTAAGCAGCATGTGGTAAATATCATCACTGATATTTTTCATGGATCTCACCCTCAATTCTATGATATACTCTGGCTCAAGAAAAGAGTGTATTCTGACATTGAAGGTGAGATCCAAAAGGTATATCGGTGATGATAATTATTACCATATGCTGCTTAGTCTGAGCCAACTTCATATGCTCAAAAAGATGTGAGTTATCCAACCTGGAGCTGTTAATATTGTATTTGTGTCCGTATTGTGCATTGAAAATGTTTCTTTTGTCTTTTCCTTTTTGGACAGTTATGTGTAAAGTACAATAGCAGTACCTCTAGAATGTAAGCTCATTGAGTAGGACCCTCCACCTCACTGTTCCTGTACGTCCAATTGTCTGGTTAAAATTACATGTCGGTTAGTCCACCCATTGTACAGTGCCACGGAATGTGATGGCGCTATATAAATAATAAAATAATAATAATAATTGTATGGCAGATGCAACTACTGTGTGCACTTTTACATCCATTGTGACTGTTTATGGTTTTTGAACAATCTTTAGTATAAAGAGGAGTAACATTATACCTGGTGATATATAGTAGTATTGAGATTTAGTTTAAGCACCATTAACGCTTATACTATTGTGTTTTGTATATGTCGTGTAGATTGCAAGAGATAAAACTCAATCATGCTAAAAGCACATTATGAATACATGTGAAAGGTATATAGAAATCATAGTACAAAGACACACTGTAAAATGTTTGTGAAATACTCATATTAAATGTGTTGGAATGTCACTGAAATTTCAATCCAGTCAAAAGATATACTGAGACAAAGTAGGGATTACTTTGTCTCAGTATTTTTTCTCCACTTGACACTTCTTGACACTGAGTGGAGCTACTGCTGTCAAGCTGTGTAATATCCCCAGCCATCTTCAGTGATGGCAGCAAACAAATTGGCGTTGTCTATGGAGGCCGGTTGTCTTGCAGGCCGGAAGAGGATGGCGGCACCTGCGTGGGGCAGGTTCAAGAAAGTAGAACTCACCTTTCCCTGCACCCACGGCAACTGGACCCCTAGCAGCAATGTCACCATCTGTGGTCTTTGTAAATTATGCAAAGTCCCAAAACAATGACAAGGCCTCTTTAATACTGGTCAAATTGTCTTTTTTGTACCCTATTTAGGGCTCTGTGGGCACTTTCTCTTGAGATCAGGACAGCTTGTTATGTTTCTGTAGAAATAACGTATGACTCTCTATATTCACCTTACTTATCACTAAACTGTATTTGTACCAACTTTTATTAATTATTATTTTTTTACGTAAGTTACGATAATTTTCTCTGATGAACATTCTCTGACATATACATCTACTGGGTGATCTGTCAACCTTAATAAATATGTTATGTACAGTATCTTGTAGTAGAAACACCTATTCTTGAATGTATATAGCAGAATTGCAACTTTGGATTAAGGTGAGAAAAATATTGCCACATTACAATTATAATGATGCTATTATATTGTCAATGCATTCTAATTATCATCTCTGTATTCATCCAGAGGAAACAAAATGTATTAGCAATTAGTACACAACTGTGTTACATGTAGTGCAATACAGATTTTTCTTTTCTTACTGAAAGAGTTGAGAGGTGAAGGAGAAAGCTTCATCTAATCATTTTTGTATGATTCTTTGAGAAATGAAGAGTCACACCTTACCTCTCCATTCTCCTACAGCCTGCTGACTTTGTCATTAAAGGATCACACCTTGCCCAGGGCAGAAGCCCCTTCAATCAGCACAGAAGTGAAAACTAGATTTGCCATCTCCACTGTGACCACTGTGTTCTTTACAGCTCCTGTCGACACCATATAATGGTTCCCCAGAATAAGAAGAATCATCACATAATGCTCCATTTGTCATTAGCATGCTGATAGGACAGGGGCATGACAAGCTTAATCCTTTGCCTGCTGGAAATGGTCACAGTCCACCGTCTTCATAATAATAATGTGCAAAGATCTATATACTACAGAGTACCTGAGGAAATTGTAATTCCTTAGGTATAGAAAGATGAAAAGAATAGCAGCCATTAGCTAGTGTACCACATCAGGAAAACAGGAAGCCACCCAAGAGTTTTACAAGTTTAAATGGTAAAGTAGTTAATCCTACAAATCTCAACAGATAAATTGGCTATACAAAATATCAATAATTTATGCCAGAATTAGAAAAATGCCTCTTTTAAAACACAAATGTTAATGTTTATGTATAGTAATAATAAAAGTATTATTATAATTATTATTATTATTATTATTAATTCTGTCATTAAGAATGCAATATAGCATAATGTCATTAATCTGAGTCATTGTTGGAACTGACTGTATAGCAGCATTTGCCTGGCGGACCTCCAGTGTCAGATTTTCCCTATAGGAAAGCATTAAATAATGCTTTCCTATGGGGAGGTCTAATGCACCAGATATTTGCCATAGGAAAGCATTGATTAATGCTTTCCTATGAGGAGGTCTAATGCGCACGC